AAATTCTATGAGCAAGGCTTAGGTATCTACCGGGCCATTACAATTGTGCCTTCCACTTGTGGCGACGAACCAAGGCCTTCGTCTAGTTTCCAACCCGTGCCATGGCCACTATGAATCAGCCATCTGCCAGTCGCCAACATGAACCGGGTTTTCGCTCAGTACCTCCACCTCGATGCTCTGACGACCCTGCTGACTCCCGAGCCGTTCCACAATGAGCCATAGTTTGTCTTGTCGGAGACGATCGGGCTCAAGGTCGAACTCGGGTGTCCGGATAGCCATGGTCAGTTCCCGGAATTCGCCGCCGCCTGACATGGCGAGTACCGATTCCTGCGGCCCTCGGCCGTAGACGAGGGAGACGCGGACGGCCGTCGTAGCAATGGATTGGCTACTTCGTCCAGTCTGCAGCGGGCACCGTGCCACGACCTGGGCCCGGGACAACCGCGATACCGTAACCAAGGCTCGTTTGTTCTCCTCTCCTTCGCTAAAGATGAAGGCCGGCGCCAAAGTTCGTAAAAGACCGGCTCTATCGCTCAATACGGGCTTAATCTGGCATTCCACCTGAGACCCTACGCGCATGCCAAAGTCGGCGAGCTGCCCCGGCTCCCACGTGGAGCAGACAATAGTATATGTGCCAGGCTCCACTAGAGGGACTTGGACAAGAGCGTTGCCTCTACGGTAGTCGCCAGAGCTGGCCACAACATCCTTGACCCCGATCGATGTGACTCTTTTCCCGTGTGCCCACACCAGATCGACATGAATGGCTACCTCTCGGTCTCCAGACGAGAGGAGTATGGAGAGGGGCGTGGCACGGGGAATGGAGATGCTGAATTGCGGGTTTTGCGAGTAGGTGATGGACGACGCATTGCCTCCAGCAGTTCTCCTGGTCCAAGCACTCGAAAGCTCTTGGTAGTGGCTCATGGCTTCCTCGGCTGGCTTGACCTCGAGAGGTGCTTTCGAGAAGAGAGTAAACGTACACGAATATTGGTCCAGCGGGAGGTCTTGGTGGGCCATGACAATGGTGTAGGGCGTTCCACTGCGAAGTTTGAACTTGGCCAGCGTTTGTGGCGAGTCGACATAAGGGCCTTGGTAGACGAAGCCCTCCCTGACCTGGACCTTTTTGCCTTCGCTCTCAAAGATGAATATGCTTGTGAAGCCAAGTTGTCTCGAGACCGCTGATAAGGAGGCAGACTTATTCCGCGCAATCTCCAGTTCCTCGTCCGCAAAGTGTCGACTCAGCAGAATCCACACGGTCTGTCCCGTATGTGACAGGACTGAGTATTGCGGATTGTAGGCAAGAGAGGACGTCATGTTTATGGTGGGCACGCGCCACGTGAAGTGGTGATCCTGCCGATGTGTAAACAGATCCGGATTCCAGTTGAGATACATGGACTCAAAGTTCTGCGCAACGTCTTCCACTGATATCCAGAAGGACCCGACGGGCCTGGTATGCTCGGAGGACCTTGGCTCGATCGAAACCAGTGTGTCTGATAACGACACGGCGGCCGTTTGCTCGACTATTCCAGATGAACCGACGCCTTTCCAGACGAGACCATCACACCACGGGTTCTTGACAAGTAAACGACGGGCGCCGGGCGAGCTATCGATCTCCAGCACGGCATAGTCGTGCTCGCCGACGAGACCCAAGGCGTCTTCTTCCGACTGAGTCAAACGACCGGTTCCTAGGGTCATGATCAAATTCCCGGCATGGTATGCCTCCTTGATCAAGTCCCATTCGCTCTCAAGGTCTACGTCTTCGCTACGTCTTGGCATTAGTTCTCGCCGTTGGTCGTCTTGCCCTGAGCCGGGTTTCACATGCAGGTTTCCACATACCTCTGCAAGAACAGCTGTTCGGGAATCCAACCGGTGATGACCCATAAATCGGTGCCCGAATTGCTGCCGGGAAAATCATACCCTCCGCGTACCTTTAAATAAGCCTTCTCCAACAAAGCTGGCCACAGAAGATTGGGGTTCTTGCGATCAACAACGAATAAGGTGCGGTTGTTCCGCGAGACAGGCAGCCGATCATCCACGACGACTTGTCTGAAGCAGCCGTTGAAGTGCATGCGAAATATGTACTTGCCACTCCTGGAGATCATAGGTCGCCCTTTTTGGTGGTTGTAGGGATACATGATAGAGCTGAGGATCTGACGAGGCTGGTAAGCGGGCGTGATCAACGGTATTGTGCGTATCACTCTTGACTGACCGATTGTCTGCCACCTTGGAGAATCTTCATGGCGGCGCATAGACTGGCCACAACTGAGCAATCAGTCGTGACATCCTGTACGAGATCACAGTCGCTTTCTGAATGCATGAAGTCCTCGTCTATGGTATCTTCTCTCGCTTGGTCCACGGGGCGTTGCCAGGCTTCGAGAATGGACTCCTGTCTGGCCGACATTGTGTATTCTGCAGGGTCTCTGGTTTATGTATAAGTTGACTAGCCGATGTGGCGGTTATGCGAACGTACGAGAAAACATTTTGGCCCTGAGATAGGGAGAAATTGTCATCATTAGGCTCAGCCTGCCAGGGCGGGAAAATGTTGCCATGTAATCGAGATGAGCGCAGAAGAATGGTCCTCTCGTTGGATGGTACATGGCGCACATGGCAGCTAGGATTAGACGCAGAGGTGATGGTCGCAGCCGTCGTCTGGGTCAGAGACGAAGATGCGGTCTTGGGCGACGACTTGAGCTTTTCGGCGAGAGAAATGAGACCTGCGCACTTTTTCCGGAAACGAGAGCGGTCGGCTGGTGAGGTAGCTTCGTGTGCTGCCTTCATGTATAAGTCGGCCGCGGCAATTGCATGATTCAAAGCTTCACGCCCCGTCGATCTAGCCACAAGGGCCTCTTCTCTCTAAATACCGAGCAACACTGGTCAGCTGAAGCAGGTCTCTGAGGTGCGTCGCGCTGTGACTTGGAGACTCACTCACGATGGCTTTGGCTTCCATGCTTCCCGCTAATGAGCAGCTTACTGGAACTGCATCCAGCCGTCAATGTCAAGTCAGGGCGATAATGCCGACTGCGCAACAGTAATTGAACAAGGAAACCCGAAATCCTACACAAGCGGCCAGAACAAGGACTTATTCAAGTCGAATGTCGAGGTCACGAGTAAGGTAAGGCAATCGATGCGTCGAGACCCGACACGGCGGGAAACAAGTCGAGATTCGAAGAAGTGAGTGGAGCGAGAGCAGGTTGAGTAGAAGGGCTGGCCTTTGTATGTCTCTGGCTGACTACTGTTTTATCACAGTTTCTCCCAACTTCCTCGTGACCTCAGGCCTGGTTATGATTCTGATTTTAGATCCAACGCGATGTCGTCGGTATCAACGGCGAGGGCATTTATGAGTGAGAATGGGCGCGGGGAAGGCGTCGCAGTCTTAGCGTGAAATGCATTATTCGTCGTGGGGTGAGACGACAGAGAGCGGGCACCAGATTGAGGCTGTGCAAAGCAAAACCCAAAAACGGTACAGAGTCGGGCGGCCAAGGGCCGGCCAGGTCAAAATGTTGAAACGGGGCCTAATTGCTCTCAAGACCAAGACCGGAACGAGCCAGATAGCTAGTTTTAGGAGACGTGATCGGACTGTAGGAGCGTGGGAGAGATCCGTTCAGTTCACTCACCAAACCAGCTCGAGTCGGGTTGAAGCAAGCCAGGCGCCAGAGCGAGCGAAGCAAACGCTGGGAAAAGAATCAGAAGCGTCTACCGTTATGTACCCCTACCCCTGGTCAACACCAACCTAAGCTTACGAAATGGGTGCGACGGAAACGTTAGAAACGTTGGAGGGCAATGCGAACTTCAAAGAGCCTAAGGACTCTCCGTACGATTACCTACCTACCTTATATTACCTTGGTGTACCAGAATGCGGATTGACGGGCAAGATGTGGCCTGCTTGATATCGGTCCATGGGTTTTCTGTAAGGTAGGTAGGAAAGAAGGCGGGTTCGAGGTTAACATGCGCTAGAGGGGTGGAATGAACAATGAACGGGAAGGTAGCGTCCATTTACCTGTTGCCGTTGGACGAGGACAGTAGGAGGGATGGGCTAAGTACCTAATACAATACCTACCCACCAATTTTATAGAGAAACCTGTGCATCTGTACAGATAGGTTCTTGGCTTTCTTTGCCCGAACATGCGGAGTAGACTACTAATACCTTATGATTAGAGCTTACCTTACCTCACCCTAGGTATCTTAGGTAAGATACGGGGCGCCCTCCTCTTCCTCTTTCTCTTCCTGCCTTACCTACTCACGCTACTGTGGATGCCGCTCGGAAACTGTCGAGGACTTACACGAGTATCCGCACGCGAAGCACAAAACATGGTGGACGGCAACTTTTAAGATTACGATACGGCGCTATTCCGTCGGGTTTCAACTTGCCTCTATCATTTCAACTCTTGGTGGATTAATCCAAGTGAAGGGGAAATGGGCTTTTTCCGCAATATGGTAAACACCATGGGCCAAACTAGGTGCCGTCTGTGGTGAATGCCAGTGGACAGCTCTCCTTATCTGGATGTGTTGGCCAAATGAAACATTTGAAGCCAGACTGACTGTATCACCTCGGCCCTAGGCCATCACCAACCTGTCTCTTTTGTCACCCACGGGCCCGGGCCAGGACCGCTGAACCCTTCCCCCCCGCTGCTCCGCTCTTGCATGCCCAAGTCTGGCTAATCAAATGTCTCCGGCGACGATTATTCAGGGCCAGCCACATATTTGTACGGATACTGACGCCTACCTTATTAGTACGGAGCCGTTATGCTGCTTCGCATCCATGATCCTCCCCAAGCATTTTCGAACACGTGATGCGCCAGTACCGGCTCGTGCCACAAATAAACTGTCCGTAAGGTACCTTCTAAAGGTGCCAGGTAATACCTTAACGTACCTACCTAGCGCGCTGGTCAGTCGCTGCGATGCATTACCTAAGCATTCGTTGTGCCGAAACCCCACCAGGTGACCTCACCGGTTAACCGAGCATATGGCGGGCCTCTAGCGTCATCTCCAAGGGCCGAGGTCGTCGACTCAAGTGCCACTCCCGGCACCCGCGCAGGCGCAGTGGCCGGCACGTCAGTCCCCATGGGCGGCCTTCTCAGTTTGGACCCTTCGTCCCGACCAGCGCACAGTAAACCATATATGTCTTCGTCGTCAGTAACATCTTGGGCCACTTCTCGCGCTCGCGCATCCTTCTAGTAGTTGCTGGTTATCGCTGCTCGTTCGTTGCCGCTTCCCTGTCCTGACCACTTCCCGTCCCGCCCTTTGCCTCGGATCTTGATCGGTGCAGAACCCCAACGCCGACGACAACGCCGATACCGTCACCGTCACCGACATTGTGGGCGACAATTCCCTACTCGTGACCCGATTATTCGACCAAACGCCTCGAAGAGAACTCTGATCTGTGTGCCAACGCATTGCTTCTTCAATCTGAACACGGCAACAATACAATGGCTGCCCAGTCGAAATCGGCCTCCATCTCCCCCTGGGGCAAGGCAGTTGCTGGCGCTTCCGGTGCCGTGCTTGCCAATGCTTTAGTCTACCCGCTTGACATGTGAGAGAAACGATGCTGCCGCGATACCAACACGCTCGCATAACTTGTCTTCCCCATTGCCTCGAAATCCATTCTTTCCTGTCGTATTCTTCCATGGTAATCGAGTTTGGCTAACCTCTCCTTGATAAAGCGTCAAGACGCGCCTCCAGGTCCAAGTCAAGTCGCAACCCGGCGCAGTAGCGACTGACCCCTCCGATCCCGTCGAACCCCATTATTCGTCTACCTGGGATGCTCTGAGCAAGATTGTTGCTGAGGATGGTGCCAAGGGTCTTTACGCCGGCATGAGTGGCTCTCTTCTTGGCGTCGCGTCTACCAACTTTGCATACTTTTACTGGTACTCCGTTGTGCGCGCCCTCTACCTTCGTTCTGCCAAGACTTCGGCACCACCTTCGACACTCATCGAGCTGAGTCTCGGCGCAACCGCTGGCGCTGTAGCCCAGCTCTGTACAATTCCCGTCGCCGTCATCACGACGAGGCAACAAACCCAGCGCAAGACCGAGAGGAAAGGCTTTGTCGACACTGCGCGGGAAGTCGTCCATGGAGAGGATGGGCCATTCGGGCTCTGGAGGGGTCTCAAGGCTAGCTTGGTGCTCGTTGTGAATCCTGCAATCACTTACGGAGCTTACGAGAGGCTGAAGGAAGTCATCTTTCCTGGCAAGAATAACCTCAAGCCCTGGGAGGCATTCCGTACGTTGTTGAACCCTCCTTGTCTGTACAGTTCTCACTGGCCGGCTCTGACTGAATTTCATTTAGTTCTCGGTGCTATCTCCAAGTCACTTGCAACGATTGCCACACAGCCCCTGATTGTAGCTAAGGTAGGTTTGCAGTCGAGGCCACCGCCTGAAAGGAAGGGCAAGCCTTTCGGCAGCTTCATCGAAGTCATGAACTTCATTTTGGAGCGAGAGGGCGTTTCTGGTCTATTCAAGGGCATGGGACCACAGATTCTCAAGGGTCTTCTTGTCCAGGGCATCCTCATGATGACAAAGGAGCGGTAAGCACGATACCATGCAACCTGAAATATCGTAAGAGCGCTAATCCAGGAATAGCATGGAGTTATTGTTTGTCCTCTTCTTCCGCTACCTCAGGACGCTGAGGTCGAAGCGGCTGCAGGCTTTTGCACGGAGCCCCGATGTCATTCGTAGCGCGTCTGCCATCAAACCTCTTTGAGAGAAGAGCGGCAAAGTGCGTACATTTGACTAAACAACGTCGTCAAGAAGCCAAGGGCGGTGAACCTTTCGACATCGTGTATAGCGAAGTGGGATAATCCCTGATAGGGCGTAGACCGAGTCGCGGGCAAAGATGTGGACTTATCTGTATCGTAACAAGGGTAGAACACGAGAGCACTGCATGGGCACTACATGAGGTTGGCGCAAGAGAGATGGCAATCGACAATCTGAGAGAGCTAGGATAGAGTAAACAATACTTCAGTTCATCATATTTGATCTTACAAGGATGTCTTGGAAGTACATACCTTAGAGTCAAGAAAGTCTTGGGAATTATCGTATTGTGCGAATCAGAAACAACTTGCAATACCTATCTATGCTTGACTTTCCGTGATGGCAACCCGAAAGAGAAATGTAACATTCCAACAGATGGAAGGTAAGTAGCTGTCTGGGTTAGGTGAGCCCTTCTTGCAGTCTTACCAGTCAAGACATGCAGGCATTCATGCAGTGACAATCTGAAGTAAAGTATGGAGTTAAAAGTTTGGCACACTGTGCTCCAATCACTCATACAAGGTGCCTTACCTCAGGTAGGTAAGGCAGTGGCGCGATTCGATTCAGCCACACCGTGGCTCAGCAAGTCCATTAGGGCACAGAATTTCGACCCACAACACCGCAGAGCCTAGCATGCACCAAACCACCCCACGGCCAGCCTCGATATCCTAATACTCGAAATTTCCCCGACCGCATCACGAACTCCAGGCTTTAGTATTCAACGTCAGGGGCACCTTCCGACCGCAGCAATGGCCAGTATGTCATGATAGCCCGATTCTACGAGCCTCGTCGCTCGCTCCGGATGAGCTCAGCTAATTTCTGAGGGCAGAGTCAAAGAACTCCTCGCAGCACAACCAGTCGCGCAAGGCGCACCGCAACGGGTACGATTCAGATATTCACATGCCCACCATTCCCCGAGATGTCCTTTTGCTGACGAAGTTTTTCTTTCTCTCGTGTAGTATCAAGAAGCCCAAGACGTCGAGATACCCCTCCCTTAAGGGTACCGACCCCAAGTTCCGCCGTAACCATCGTCACGCTCTGCACGGCACCATGAAGGCCCTGGTACGAACCCTCCGAAGAACAGCACCCGCGAAATCCCACTACGACGATTACATTCACAACGGTTGCTGACAAATTTTACAGAAGGAGCTGAAGGAGGGCAAGCGCGAGACGGCATAAACGAGAACTTGGACGCATGGTTATTGGTCTCTTCTACAGCACGGCTGCGATGCATTGGGGCACTAGGGAATCAAATGGAACTGGCAATTAGGTTGAAAGAGCCAGCAAACGAATCAACCACAGTTTAACCCTCTCGGAATCCCTACCAAGCCACGAAAGTCGGGCACATGCCGCTTTGAGGTCTACACGAAGACGCCCGACAAGAGAAAAAGATGACCCTGCCAGGGTCTTGGCAACGAGATGATGGGTGCAGCGAGGCTCTACTCTGCGTCCATCAGCCATGCCCCAACAGGTGAACCGTGATGTGCGATATCAGACCAGTTCGAGGATCTTTACAAAGTAGATAAAAACACTACGCCAGCCTCCTACAGTTGCCCAATGTCGAATTTGGTCAATGAACAACGGATAATACCAAACCTCCAGTTCCATGGCGGCTCTATGTGCCTCCGTGTATGGTCCAGTTTGTTCGGGTATCGAGTGCGATACTAGGGTCGAAGGCATTCCACGAACCCGTCTTGCTGCGGTACGATAGTCTCCCGGCAAACTTCGGAAAGGCCCAGTCCAGCAAGTCGTGACATTGAATCGCGGTGATATTGCACCATGTTTGGTACCTTAACTGCGGTACTTTTGCTAGCACCAAGTCCGTGGGCCGGAAATGCTCAACATGGATGAGTTGCCTCCGTTGTCAAGTTGCAGCTCGGTAAGTGAGTACTCGCAATACCATTTAACGGTTCACCGGTAAAGGAGGAGCGGCGTTTGTCGCCAGGGGCATTGTCGCATACTGACAACCTCAAAATGAACCTCAAGGAGTCAATGCTAGTCGGCGTCTATTCTCCGATCAGTGAGGCGTTCCGCGAACTCTATTGAATGAGGCCCCTATATATAGAAACAGTGACATTTACTCGATGGGTCGGCATCTTTGTTAGGCCGTTCCCTCTTGTCTATTTTTGTATCAAGACCCAGGCAAGTAAATGGGGTTGGGGAGTGTGAGAGAGAGGGCGGGGGCCCGGAGCGAGACGCATAGCTCTCTGAAAGGATCTGAGGTTGAAGTTGGGAATACCCGCTGTTTATGCCTTCATGTCCGAGAGACGTAGAACTAATGTGGTCAACAAGCTGCAACTAGCAATTGCCTGGCTGATGGGTATTAGGTATACCTTCATCGAGAACCAGTGGTAAGATCTCAGCAAAGACGTGTATTGCCTACACTTCGTAATGGGACCAGAGCTTCCCATGCCTCTTATCTTGCGTCTCGAGGTTGGACTCAGGTAGGTACCTCCTACCTGAGATACTGACTTTACGGAGTACGGGTTTGAGGCACTTTACCTGAGGCGGTACGGAGTAAGGTTAGGTAGGACAAACTGCGGCAAACCAGTGACTAAGCAGCGACCACGCCACGTTGCTGAACTCTTCTTTCCCTCCTCTCCCGCAGTGCAGCAGTACATGAATGAGTACGTCTCCTGCAAATTCGAGAAGCGAATTTTGTTCGTTCCCCTTTTGTTCCCACCACCCCCTACATCTGGGTAATACTTTCAGACGACGCCAGCCTTGAATATCGTATTACCTGCCTGGAAGCAGCATTTGTTGAATAATTTCTGCCCGCTTGCCAGAAGTGCATTACCTCCGTCACTCCGCTTCCACCCCCAATCTCTTCCGCCTCCGCTGTTGTCGCCGTCCGCGTTCCTCGCTGCGGTAGTACACAGAAAAAAGCAGAACAAAGCACGCCGCCATTCGCCTCGACTCCCATACCAGCGACTCCGGCTTGCGCCACCGGCCACTGTCTCTTTCGACCCTTCTCTCTACTCGTTCGACCAAAACCCGAAATCCTGGCCCGATAACCAGACCCTGTCATCCATTCGGAAAGACATGTGTTAAGCAGCAGGTCCTCATTAGACTTAATCCCCGACTCCTTTGAGGTCAGCAGGTTTCTGCAGGAGCTTTGGGCAGCGAATACGTACCCTACGATTCATTACCTTACTTGCGCCGTCTGAGCTCTGCCGCAGCCAAAGACACGAAAAAAGAACAGGCCGTTCAGGGCTATTGTCTTCACTTGAACAAACCAAGTCAACAGGAGGACCCTTTGGACTTCTTGACAAGCGACTGTGATCGCCAACTTGGATTTGCACCGACAGCTGCTGAAGCTTCTGTCCATCCCTCCCACTCTCGACTCAAGTCACAGAGTCAGAGAGGTTAGGCTCGTTTGCCTGCTGATTCGATTGACGTTACCGTCATTCGAAATCTCGAAACAGCGCTGGTCCCTCCTTGCCCGGGCCGACCCCCCTTCCATCACTACACAAAGACACAACGCCCTTCACTGGTCGCCGGCATCGTTTCATCTGCCACCTGCCAGTTTTCTACCGTCTTCACGACATCAACTTCGCCGCCGTTACCAGCGCGATTCCTGCCTCGCTATAATTGCGCTGTCTGTCGACAATGCTCAATATGTCTGGCAGCCACATTGCGGGAAACCGCAATAGCACCCCGGAGGCCAACACGAACCCGTCTCTTCGCCCCCCCTCCTCGAGAGTTATGGGAACCAACAGCCACCTTCGGGCTTCTGCCGACATGGCTGCGCTCTCCAACGCATCTCCCTCAAGCCGGATCCGTCCGTCATCCGACTTCTACGGCTCTCAGCAGGGCCAAGGCCATAATAACCCCGATACCGATCCCCAAGACAAGATCGCGCAACAATGGATTGCCGATATCGATCAGTATGAGACGACTTTGGAAGAAATGGCCGCTGCCACTCTCGACCAGGACTTCAAGGATGAACTGAGTGCCATTGAGCAGTGGTTCAGGGTCCTCAGCGAGGCCGAGCGCACTGCTGCTCTGTACGCCTTGCTGCAGCAGACCACCCAGGTTCAGATTCGATTCTTCATTCAGGTTCTACAGCAAATGGGCAAGAGCCACCCCATGTCGGGCGTCTTGTCCCCAGCCAACTTTGACAAAGGTGAGCCTCATGACACACTTCTTGCCATCCTGCTGGCTGTCAGCTAACGTGTCTATCCCAGACCCAATGTCAAACCGCCTGAGCGACGCCATGAACAAGCTGAATGTCGAGCCATCCAGGAACTCGCTCGCCCGCCCCTCGAGCACTGCGACCGGCAAACGGCAATCGGGACTCGACCCCTCCACCATCAATGCAATGTTTCCTGACGCCGCCGCAGCCATTGCGACGGAGAAGGCCAAGTTCACCCAGCAGACTGGCAACCCTCCCTCGTCCAACCGCAACAGTGCTGTAGGTGACTCTCGTCAGTCCATGGCTGCCCCGACAATCGCGGGCCCTGCCGACAACCACGACTCCAATGGCCAAAACCAGTGGACTGGAGGCGATCAGGGATCCAAAGCCCCTGGTGGTCAACCCCCGATGGGCCAGTTTGTCCAGCCGCCCCCTTCTAGTGGTTTAAGATCTCCTCGCCCGCCCCAGATCTCGGGCAACCAAAACATTCAAAACACCACCTTGACGACCAATGATAAGCCGGCAGACCTTCCTCTCTTGTCCCCGTACAACCCAAGCGGAGGCAACTGGGCATCGATGGTCAATACTCCGCTCGTTGCGAATTTCAACGCCAATACCAGCGGCACGCAGGCTGACATGGTCGCAAATGCCACCGCGATGAAACTAGCAGCTTTGTCGACAGTCAACAACCGCTTCGCTCTCGATGATGTTCGCAAATATCGCCGTGCCCGATCCAACGATGCCCCAGGCGCTCCAGGCCAGCAGGGTCTGCCTCATAGTGGGCATATGCCCAACACCAACGTGGTCATGATCAACGAGCATGGCCAGGTGCTTAGTCGCGAGCAGATGATTGCTTTGCAGGCACAAAACATGGGCTTCGGCCAACATCGATCTCGACCCAGCTCGCCAGGCATTGCCATGCAGCCTGGTGGCTTCGGACCCATGGCTTTCGCTTCTCCGCAAAACAACGGTTTCCTCAGCGCCTATGATGGCGCCTCTCCTCTTCTCAACAATGGCATTCCTTCAGTCAATGTGGGCCAGTTAGGTTTAGGGAACCACGAAGGATACCTTTCAGACCATTCCGACATGGTCCGTGGCCGATCTCCCCGGGGCCGCAGAGGTAGCTCAAAGCCGCCTGAAGACCCGACAGACCCGACCCTTCTCCAGGATATCCCTAGCTGGTTGAGAAGCCTGCGGTTGCACAAGTACACTGAAAATCTCAAAGACATGAAGTGGCATGAGTTGATCGAGCTCGACGACAAAGCTTTGGAGGATCGTGGAGTTAACGCCCTCGGAGCTAGGCGGAAGATGCTCAAGGTTTTTGAGCAAGTGAAGGGTAAGCACTATTTTGAGCCAGCTGTTTTGAGGCAACAGTGCTGACACTACTTGAACAGAGGCCAAAAATGATGGCAAGATTGCTTGAAAAGGGATATGACGGTTGACGCAAGGAAGATGTGTGCGGTTGTTGTTACCCATTTACCACACCACGGACACACAGACACATTTACGCACTCACGCACCCACGCGCCCACAGGCATCGATGTATTGTTGGATAGACAACAAGCATAGTAAGGGGGTATAAGCATGAAAGATCGCGGATGTGTATTCAGGTAGTAACCCGGGGGGTAGGTAAACTTTTACCAAGGGTTGGTTTTCGCTCACTCTGTGCTTCTGTACATATATAAGAAGATAACACAACGTGTCCGGCTGCGCACAAGACGTTGCTGGTAGTTTGAGAAGGAGCGATGGTGTCTTGGGCGGCTGCCCGCGTCGAGTGTGCTGGTGTAAATTCTCTGTTCTAGAATGTCATCATCGTACCCCTGGATCTGTTAACCAGCATTTGTGACCAATATTTGAGAAGATTCTATGTGAAAGAAGCAAAAGTTCAAGTATTCCTAATACTTGGAAGAATCAAACAACAAACACATGCCGATATGTAATTGAGGGTGCATCTAGTTTCGTTGGTACTATTGCTTGCCATTATTGCTACTCGCCGGAGAAAACAAGCTGTTGGCGAAGACATGTCAAAAATTACCTGACAGACAAAACTTGAGTGGGGTAATACAAAAGGTGAGGTAAACGGGTATTAGGTGCACGTACCGTTCGTTGTCTTTCTTTCAGCCTTTTTGAGGTGCTTGATCAGCTTCGTATCCGGCAGCTACGACGACCTCTTCATTTACTTTTCCAAGGTTCATTGGGTACTTTCGGTCTCGGACACACTATTCTGCCCAGATTCCCGAGGCGCAGCTGCTCTCATTGTCAACGGCAGGGTGGCGTTTCCACTAGAGCTGTTCAGCTTGTACTTTACCATCTACAGACTACACCACTTCGCAGTCAATCCGTCAATTCTAGCACGCGCGACAACCCGATTCGCAGGGAACACCGGACCTTTGCTGACAACCCAAGACAGCTTGGTTGTTTTTTGAGAATTCTTCCGACCACATCTTCTATCGGCGGAAAAAAGAAAGAGATCCCAAGGCAGGACGTTCCTAGACTAATATTGACGAGACAGCTGATCTTGAGCATCATTCTCACTTGCAATCCTTACCTCTTCCAGCAGACCAGTTAGTTCGCACAGCGTCAGCATCTCGGCCCCTCCAACATATCAACACCGGTCTGCTTCGTCTAGCCTGCCCACCATGGATCCGACATGGAAAGAAGCCGAGGCTGGAGACGATGCCCACGTTGATGACGAAGAGGAGGATTTCGTTTCGGATGCCGATTCAGATGAAATGGAGCTCCGAGGCGATATCGCCAAGTGGGAACAGTCCGTACGAGAATTTCTCTCTTCACGTCAAACTGCTGGGGGCAGCGTTGGCACCGGCATTGATGACGATGACAGAGGATTGAGGAAGGCTCAACCGATATCGAGGAGCAAGCATGCTTCGCGCTCCATCCGAGGTCCCCGAAAGGCTGCTGAGCCCAGAGGCGACATCAAGCTTCGTCTTGCGGGTGTGAATCAGGCGTTTATCAGTGGAAACTATGCCCTCGCTCGGGATCTTGTATTCGAGATCATCAGGATCAACGCCGAAACTCATCAGGCATGGACGGTTCTAGCATCCATCTTCCGAGAAGAAGGCGCCAACGACCAGGCGCTGATGGCCATGGTCATTGCTGCTCATCTAAGGCCCAAAGACTTCCCAGTATGGATGGACTGTGCCTCCTTTGCCATGAGTCTTGCCGAAGAGGGTCAAGACGGCGCTCTCAAGACTGCTCTCATGTGCTATTCATCTGCAATCAAGGCTCAACCAACAGACCTCGAAGCGAGACTAGGTAGAGCCGAAGCAAGCCACCGCCAGGGCTTCTTCTCCCAGGCTATAACTGAGTTCACCTACGTCCTTGAGCGCCGACCGCTGGACATAGATGTCGTTCGGCGATTGGCCGAAGCTTGCAGCGACTCTGAGAGCATAGAAGATATCCAGAAGGCTGTCTCGGCCTACAAGACGTACTTTGCACACGCACGAGGTACTGAGCAGGAAGGAGGGGGAGAGCTATCATGGCACGACATCGGAATTTACGTGGAGCTCTTCGCCTGCGCTGGAGACTTCGCAACCGCCATTGCAGATCTGAAGTCGCTTTCACGCTGGCTGCTCGGACGACCGAACGATCAAACGTGGGATGCTTGTTTCGACGATAGGGAGTGGGATCGTGACCATTCTCGCCGTGTTCAACTCCCCTCTTTCGACCCTTCTGCCTACAACATGTATGCCTATGGCCTGGGACTGCCTCTGGAATTCAGGGCCCGTCTTGCTCTCTATCGGCTGAAGATCCGCGACGAGGAGGAATCGAATGTATGTTCACTATGGTCTTCTGGTGACTCAAGATGTCTCAAGCATTCACTGATACTCTGCTAGCTACATCTACAGTGGTTAGATCCGAATGAATCTGCAACGGCTACAGCGATTGAGGACTTTCCCTACCTCGTTCGAGATATTGCAGATGAACTCTGCGCTGTCCAACGCTACCAGGAGGCGCTGGATTACTACGAACTGCTGCGAAATTCCATATACGGACAAGACGCTACCTTACTGCTTCAACTCGGCCGCTGCTACCTAAGGAAATCCGACAACGCTGCAGCAGAGGACTGCCTTCTCAAGGCTATCCAAGTCGACGAGACCAGTATCGACGCTCGTCTTGAACTAGCCACGATGTACGAAAAAGAAAAGGAGGAAGAGGAAGCTTACATTCTCGTAACTGAGGCCATTGCCCTTCAGGGCATCAACGACGAAGGGGGGATGACTGGTGATGGCCGTGGATATATGGGTGGCATTGGAAATCACCGTTTATCAGCCTCCGGTTTGGCTGATGGCACCAAATCCCGGCGCAGACGGGAATACAAGCGTCGGCCTGCGAATACCGGAATTGTTCGTCCCAGATATCGCCCGAAGAGGCTTGTAGCTCCCGATCAACGGATGCAAGAGGAACGGGCCCGGGCCGATGAGCTCACTAGGCGGTACGAAGTCGTGCGTAGCCTGAAGAAGGAGATACAAGCAGGCGACCACTCCCTGATACCAACATGGATGGCCGCTGCCGGCGATCTTGTGGGCGAGTTTAGATCCTTCAGGAAGTTCTATCCTTGGGACAAGTACCTCAAGTTTCTTGGGGCTGCCAATGATGTTGTGTTTAGCGCTTCATCCCGAACTCAGCCTGGCCTTTCTGAACTGGCGGAAAGATTGTCAAAGAGTATGCAACTGATCGCCTCCCGATCAATTTCTACCTATGTACTCATGCTAATTTTCTACAGATATGGCACCATCCCTCACAGACGAGAGGAGAACAAACGTGATGTACGAGGACGACGGCTATAGGGGCATTCCTTTCGGCGAATGGCTCGAACTTTTCCTTGACTACGCCATCAGTCTTGCCCTCGACAACCGTGCCGAGGAAGCCTACCAAGTCTGCGAAGCAGCTCGAGATTCCATCGTGTTCGTCAACTCCAAGGACTACATGTTCTTGATCCATGTCGCATGGGCGGGTACGCCAGATTTCCTCCAGTGCTGTTCGAGATGCATGATTGACTGATGGAATGATGAAACAGCATGCGCCATATATCTTTCTGACGAGGAGATGTGTGTAGCTGTCGCTAGATTCTTTATGAAGGTACGGCAGCTAGACTCGGATTCATACCGCATGTTCGCCGCGTTATGCAGACTATGCCAGTCTCCAGCGTCATGGTACAATTCAGGGCCTGCGCAGAAATACATATTGCGCCAGATCAAGATCATTGACGCTTCTCACCTTGGTACGGCACAGACGGACAGGGGCTATGATGTCTCAGTCGGTGATCGTACTAGCACTGCCGAGGCCAAACAGCTCGATACCTGTTTGCTGATGCTTTACGGGCATATTCTCTTCACTTCGACTAGCTACACTTTTGCACTGAGTGAGTCAAACCAACAACGGACTTTTTTTCCAAAGGGACCTGGGCTGACATGTGAGCCCTTGCGTTAGATTACTTCCTCAGAGCACGAACTCTCGACCCCTTGAATCCCATGATCAGTCTCAGCGTCGGACTAGGATACATCCATCACGCTCTCAAGCGGCAGGCTGATAATCGTCAGTATCTTATCATGCAAGGGTTCGCCTGCGTGTTTGAATTCTGTCACTCCAAACTTTCCGGAACGCCGGACGAGAGGAGGGAGGCATTTTTCGGTGTGGCGAGAACTTTCCATATGCTCGGTCTGCATCACCTGGCTCTAGAGTGGTATCGAAAAGTCATCGGCGCGGGTGCTTCAGATGGCGCTGAGCCATGGGGAAATGCGAGCAGTCGGGATGTAATACTCAATGCGGCGTACAACGAGTATGCGCTCTTAATTAGCAGTGGCAGTGTCGACGAGCTGGAACAGTCTGTTCTGCCTCGGCTGGTTCTTTAGGTCTACAGGATGGAGAAATACCTTAGATGTTCACGCGGTTGAAACTGGCCATTTTGCTTTACATCGGACTAAGGACAATCAAATTTCTCAAGACCAGACGTTTGTGTTTCTGTGCCGATTGGCTTGGGATTTGGGCTCCCTAAGCAGGAGCATTGTCAATATCTGCCTTATCTTAATACCTTATGGCATTCGACAGCGTTGTAACAAAAGTAAGGTACCTGCCAGATTACCTTGTCTGCCTTACCTCATTCATTGAAAGTAGGTACCCTGAGGTTGGTGGCTCACCACACGGTCGAAATGACACTGACAGTGACAGACACTGTCTGGAGGACAGAAAGGGAAGGTGCGGGGGTTATTTCGCACCCTGCGCTGGAAATTCTCGCGCTAATCCATCCCGGTCGCGCTCTTTAATCACCCTCTTCTTTCCCTATTGACCCATCCATGTCACCCCGCCCTAGGCCAAATTAGTGTTGGAGGGGCAGTCAACCCATTTTTTTTTTCCTTGCGCCGGCGTCGCAACAGTAAACCGTTATTAGCTGCCCCTCGTTCAGGTCTCCCAAATTCCCCCCCTCCGACGGTGGAGGTGCAGCAAAGAAACTTTTCACGTCACTGAGTCGCCTCGAAAGTGAATCATCGTCCATCCGTCCGTCATCACCAATGCTCTTATGCACGTATGAGACAGACGGCACATTCTAGTATTCTTTCTCACTGCATCTTCGGCCATTCTCACGCTTGGTGCTCATACCTGGACGTTTAATTACGCGATCCACGTTCGTTACCCCCCCCGCTAGATCGATTTCCTCAGTCTCGTGTCTGTCTATGCTCCTTGGTGTTCTACCTTGAGGCTGATCAATCCTTCTCCAGGTCCCTCGGTGCTGCTTCTCGTTCTAAATCCCGTCCTCACCATGACTTCGGCCGATAGTGTGCGCGTTTTGCTCATTGGCAACGGAGGCCGCGAGCATGCGCTTGCGTGGAAGCTCAGCCAGTCACCTCGTGTCGTCTCCATTCTTGCGGTTCCAGGCAATGGAGGTACCGCCACCTGTCCCAAGACCACCAATGTGGAGGATATCGCCGCCGACGACTATCCCGCCCTCGTCCAGCTCGCCAAGGCCCAATCTGTCAATCTAGTCGTTCCTGGCCCCGAGGCTCCTCTCGTCGACGGTGTTGAGGCGTACTTCCGTGACGCCGGCATTCCTTGTTTCGGACCCTCCAAGGAAGCAGCACAGATGGAAGGAAGCAAAACCTTCTCCAAGGACTTCATGAAAGAGTACAACATTCCTACTGCCGCCTACGAGAACTTCTCCGATTACGAGAAAGCCGTCGCCTACATTGAGCAAGTGTCACACAACGTCGTCATTAAAGCCACCGGTCTCGCTGCCGGTAAGGGCGTCATCATCCCCGAAACCAAGCAAGAGGCCAAGGATGCCCTCAAGCAGATCATGGTGGACAAGGCTTTCGGCACCGCCGGTGACGAGGTCGTCATCGAGGAATTCCTGACCGGCGACGAGTTGAGCATCCTTACCTTTAGCGACGGCACTCACACTCTGTCTCTCCCTCCCGCTCAAGACCACAAGAGAATCGGGGATGGTGACCAAGGTCCCAACACTGGAGGTATGGGCTGCTACGCTCCGACGACCATCGCTACCAAGGAGCTCATCCGCCAGATCGAAGAGGATGTGATCCAGCCCACCATCACCGGAATGCGCAAGGCCGGCTATCCCTTCCGTGGCATTCTTTTCACCGGCCTCATGATCACCAGCCAAGGCCCCAAGGTACTCGAGTACAATGTTAGATTCGGCGACCCCGAGACGCAGACTGTTCTTCCGCTCCTCTCTTCCGAAACGGATCTCGCCGAGATCATGATGGCTTGCACGGCTCACGAGGCCCGCCTTGACTGTGTCGACATCAAGATTGAGAACAAATACAGTGCCACTGTAGTCGTTGCTGCGGGTGGCTACCCTGGCTCCTATGCAAAGGGTACGCCCATGGTGGTCAACCAGTCATCGTCGCCGGATATCACTGTCTTCCACGCAGGAACCAAGCTATCCCCACAGGGCCAACTACAGACTTCAGGCGGCCGTGTTATTGCAGTCAACGCCACTGCCGACTCTCTCGAAGCCGCCGTGAAGAAGGCGTATGAGCAAGGTCTCACGCTCATCGATTTCGACAAGATGTACTATCGCAAGGATATTGCCCATCGTGCCTTCCGGTCGCAGCAGGGAAAGGAAGCTCTGACGTACGCTGGAGCTGGTGTCAGCGTCGATGCGGGCAATGAGTTCGTTGAGAGAATCAAGAAAGCGGTACGCTCCACCAAGCAGCCGGGAGCTGATGCTGAGATTGGAGGTTTCGGTGGTGAGCTCGACTTGGCCAAGTGCGGCCTTGGGCTGAAAAATGGTGAACTTCCCGTCATCGTCGGAGCTATTGACGGTGTTGGCACCAAGCTTATGATTGCTCAACAAATGGGCAAGCACGATACCGTGGGCATCGACTTGGTCGCCATGAATGTCAATGACCTCGTTGTCCAGGGTGCCAGGCCTCTGATGTTCTTGGACTACTACGGCTGCAGTAAACTGGAGATGAGCACGGCTGCTGCCTTTGTCGAAGGTGTTGCGGCAGGCTGCATCGATGCCGGATGTACACTTGTCGGCGGCGAGACTGCTGAGATGCCTGGAATGTACCAAAAGGATGATTATGATGCTGCAGGCTGCGCAGTCGGCGTCATGATCAACAGTCAAAGACTGCCGCGTCAAGATGACATGGTCGCCGGAGATGTGCTGCTGGGCTTGGCCTCAAGTGGTGTTCACTCCAACGGCTTTTCCTTGGTCCGCCGCATTCTTGAACGCGAGGGTCTCGCATACACCGATCCTGCTCCGTGGGATGCTGGCAAGACGGTGGGCGAGAGCCTGCTGACACCCACCAAGATCTATGTCAAGAGCTTGCGTGGCGTCATTGAAAAACGCCTCGTCAAGGGCCTGGCTCACATCACCGGAGGCGGCTTGATTGACAATGTTCCTCGCATGTTGCCGGAGCATCTCGCTGCCGAGATCGACTTGACCAGCTGGGAAATGCCCGCTGTCTTCAGATGGCTCAAGACGGGCGGTAACGTGGAACCATACCAGATGGTCCGTACCTTCAACACTGGCGTGGGCATGGTGGCTGCGGTAGATGCGGCCACGGTTGATGCTACCATGGCAGCCCTTGAAGCTGCCGGTGAGAAGGTCCTTCGATTGGGACAACTGGTGCAGAGGACGGGCAGCGAGCCGCACTGCAGAGTGATTAATCTGGATACTTGGGCATTGTAGTTATGAAACAGAGAACGGGAAACGGCAAGGAAAACTGGGATGGGCGTTAAACAAAAGAGATAGTTGAAATATACCACATGATGGTGCAATAAAGCACAATCAGAACTGATAATTTCTACCCCTGTCCAGGTTTTTGATCATTATGTGCCATATCCATCGGCCTAGCCACCCGTCCTTGCAGCTTGCATTCCATTAGTTAGGGCAGCATCGCCAACGATGAATGCTTCTGTGGACTCTAGCTTTCATTGCCTGACTTGAAGGCAATTGGTTCGTTTCATCACCGTGATCAAGCTAGCGTTAACCTCACGCGGTTTACCGACATCGTTGATGAAGATGCGGTGCCCCCAATCGCATCTTTGGAAATGGTCACGCCTTGAAGGAACAAAACCACGTCTTCATTCATAAGGAACCAAAACTTCAAGTTTGGTGCGTTATCTAATATTGGGGTATCGCGTAGAAGGTATGGGCAGTCCGAATTTGGTAGCTGCCAGGAGTTGAATCCATTCCCCAAGCCACTGGGTGCGTATCTGTGCGATCTTGGGGCACCTACTTGGCCGCTGCCTTTGTTCCAATCTCCTCCTCTTCAGTATCATCTATGGGGCGTTCGGGGCTAGTCTTTCTCTCCTCGTGGCTTCCTTCGAGTGCAGACAGCACCAGCCAGGTGGGAAAGACGCAGAGAATTGTTATGCCAAAGTTGAGACCAATGCTAACAAAGTGGTTGGCGTTGCCCTCGGATTGCATACTGTGGTACATTGTCAGCATCCGAGAATCGTTTTGGTGATGTATAGAGATTCAACGAGGGAGAGAAGTATAGGGATGACTTACGCCCAGGCAACAGTTTGACCCAAAGCCTCTGTACCTCTTAAAATGCCAGTGTGACGACTCAAGTCTGAAAGATCTGTCGCATACTGGCCGACGAGCCAGTATAATAATTGTTGAAAGGCCTGGCCACCAAATTGCCAGAAGAAAACGAGGGCATAACTCTTTCCGAACCCCCCCTGAAACCAGTCATAAGCAGGCGGCTCACTCGCGTCATAGATCTGCTTCTGTAGTACGGTAGCCCATATCCATGTGCCCACGAGAACAAAGACAATGGAAACAAATGCGATACGGCCACGGCTCTTGATATGGATCCTCTGGTTGTCCAACAGCGCGGCGATCATGAAGGAGCTGAAGATGCCCGCAAAATTGGTGAAGAAACTCGAAAACGCCCTCGAGCGCACGGTGAAATAGGTCGCGAGCCAAGTGCTCATGAAACCGTTATAGAAGTAGCTTATGAAGAAGGCCGGCAGTAGTAGCAAGATCCTGCGGCTGGTGAACAGCTTCCCGACGGCCTTGAACTCTGCCCCCCATGTTGGAGCTCTCGGTGTTAAGATGACGGTTCCGTCTTTGCGCCAGACCTTGTTAGCAGGTGATAAACACAGCGCAATGGGAAGACCAAGGCACATGATGACAATGAAAACGATGTAAGTTGATGACGAGACGGATCCCGTGGTCTTCCGGTTCGCATTCAGGCCCAGGTTGATGGCACCACCCACGATGGGACCTGCAGCCTTGGCTGTTTGCCAGATAGCGAGATAGAATGCTCGGTCTCCGGGGGATGGATAGCCGATGATGATGGCGGCCTCAGCTGCCCAGAAAAATCCAGCAGAGATGCCGCAAAGAGCGCTACCGAATAACATAAACCAAGTGTTGGCACTGACGTTATTCGTATACAAGCCGGCTCCGTAGAGCGGGTAGCCTATGGAACCCAAAGCTAGCCCATACGGCAGACCGATACGGTTGTTGATGGCGCCTGCAGCGACACAGACGACCGCGAATAGGCCATAGACTTCGTAGGGGAGTTAATGAATCAAGCCAAGAAATCAAACAAAGCTTGTTGGAGTGGAAGTCATACCAAGAGCGTTGGCTGCGCTTACAGCATATGGCTTAGCGGCGCCACCGGCCCCGAGCCCGCCCAGGGCATCCCACATGCCAGGGGCTGTGAAAGATACGCCACAAGCGACGAGAATCTGGAAAGGCACTGATCGAAAGAAAGGCTTGGCTTTCGGGACGGGGCTCGGACTACGGCTCGTTTGACCCGGGTCCCGGTCGTGGGTGTGGGTGGTTCCGGACATGGCTCAGTCGTGTTCAAAAACTGCCTACGAACACTGGTAGCGGGTAATATCGATCTGAATTTTATCGGCCACAAAGCAAGCTGCAGGGAGACAAATGAGGAAAGAGGCTCAAGCCAAACAATTTCACGTGGGATTTGGGCCTCAAAAGTCTTTTTATCAAGGCATGCTTCTGTAGACAGACATTTTCTTCTCTGCCATCATGTCTTATTGTGGGTTGATGGCGCAATCGGGTCTATGAGTAAGAGAAATGTTGAAAATGGAGCCCTCCCCATAAGTTGTTACGGCCAGCTAGTCGTAGTGAGGTTTGTTTGCAGAAGTTGAGGCTGCGGAACTGGTAACAGTATTCGTAGTCGGGGATAGCTTCAGGGAAGCTATGTCTGTAAGTCGTAAGGTAAGGGAAGGCTGCGGTGATCAATCGTAGTCTTATCAAAGAGGTTCTCAGGGAAGATAGCTGAAAGCGATCATAAGATCTGATACGAAGTTAATTGCTGAAGAGCTATGGAAAGTCTGTCCTAGAGCCCAGCTCGAGTCCATCCTTATATACAAGTCCCGTGTACTATTTGAACAGTTCCTTTGTGGTTGGGACCGACATCGTGTTGTCGGTCCTACAGGGGTGGACCGCCTTTATCCTGTCGGTCCATATCATGGACCGCTTATCGTATGTCGGTCATTTCTTATCATCACGTGACTTGTCCATAGTTCTTCCGTTCCGTTGGGGTGACTCCTGTGTCTGCATATATGGCGTGTCGTAGCCGCCGTAAGCCTGCGGGGCAGGGCCTGGTCTTGGTCATGCATGTTGGGTCGTAACATAAGTGTAGGAATATATGGTCGGGCGGATAGTAAGTCTATCCATAAATGTGTGTACCCATCGGCCCCGAGCGTGAGTAGTAAGTCGTCCTTGGCCTTCTCGGGGATAGAGCCCGTGACTATTTATTTTAATTTCCTATCTTGCTACTAATCACTCTAGAACTATAATATTTAATAGTTATTTAACTTTATATAATAGTTTTTTTCTAGCTTTATAAGTATAAAATATTAAACTTAATAAAATAGTTTTTTTAAAAGAACTTATATAGTAACGTGGTTCATCAGTCAGTCGGCCGGACCAGTCAGCCGGACGTTTTTTTCTAAACACACTTATGTCCAAACCACTTAAACCTTTGACGCGTAAAATCTCAACAACCATAATGCCAATCTACACCTAAGAAGATAAAGTCATTCTTGCGATTGAAGCGATCCGATCGACATGCGCTGTAGGTAGTAACTTGAGCATTTCGCGTGCCGCAAAGACCTACGGTATCCTGAAGAGCACCTTAGCCGATAGAATGAACAACCGACCGCGACGCGAACAAACTCAACCCCAACGACATAAACTCGATCCGATCGAAGAGAAAACACTTCTCCAATACGTTATTGAACAGGATTCCAGAGGATTTCCTTTGCGCCTTGGCGGTGTGGAAGATATGGCCAATCTCCTGCTGCGAGCGCGTAATGCCGAGCCTGTTGGCAAGCGATGGGCCAGGCGGTTTGTGGACTCACAGCCTGCTCTGAAAACAAAGTTTAATCGTCTATACGATTATCAAAGGGCTCTTCAAGAAGACCCAGAGGTTATTTCAAAGTGGTTTGTGTTATTACGCAACATAATGACCAAGTATGGAATCCAAGAGGGGACCTATATAATTTCGACGAGACTGGCTTCATGATGGGCATAATCACCGCGTCAATGGTGGTAACACGCGCCGATCGACGCGGCAAAGCAAAGTCTGTCTAGCCGGGTAACCGTGAATGGGCTATAGTTATTGAATGTATCAATTCGGGCGGGTAGTGCATCCCTCCGTTCGTGATTGTTAAAGGCGTATATCACCTTGCTAGTTGGACCACGGAATCAGGTTTTCCTAGCGACTGGGTTATCAAACCTACTAATAATGGATGGATGGATAATTAGACGGGTCTTGACTGGATTAAACACTTCGACAAACATACTAAGAACCGAACTAAGGGCGTCTACCGGATGCTCATTATCGACGGCCATAAGAGCCATTTATCGGCCGAATTCGACGATTACTGCAAGCAGAACAATATTGTAACGGTCAGTATGCCTGCACATTCGTCGCATCTATTACAGCCATTGGATATTGCGCTTCATTCGCCTTTGAAACGCGCATACGGTGATGAAATTAACCTATTTATTAGAGCCTCCATAAATCACATTACCAAGTCTGAGTTCTTTATTACCTTCCACTAGGCCCATAACAAGGTTTTTAATGAGGAAAACATTAGGTCTGCTTTCTAAGGCGCTGGAATTTCACCATGGGACCCAGAGCATGTCATCAAAAAGCTTGATGTGTTTTTACGGACGCCTATACCTCCTATGGCTAACCCTTCAATACCACCACCTTGGCAGTCGTAAATGCCATCTAACCTATAACAAGCCGTCTCGTAGTCTAACTTTATTAAAAGCCGGATCTCTGCTCACAAAGGAAGCTCACCGATACCAATTATTGCTGCAGTTGAGCAATTGTTAAAGGGTGCGTAGGCAATGGCGCACTTAATCACTATTTTGACTAATCGGCTTCGTACCTTTAAGGATGCGAATGTAGTACTTGCTAAGCGTCGGAGGGCTAAAAGGTCGCGTGTGCAGCTTGGAGGGGCACTTAGTATAGAGGAATCTCAGGGTTTGCTGGAAGAGAAATAAAAAAGTAAACGTCTAGCACCTCGAGAGGATAAGGAGGGGGGTCTATCAAAGAGAGCCCAGCCGACTCGGAGACGCTATGGTGCGTATGATAAGACTGGGCATAATGCACGAACCTGTTCCAAAGATGTCGAATCATCAGGAGATTCTGATAGCGACAACCAATAATTGATTTAATGCGTTGTGGTTGAGAAACACTAGATGTTGTTGTGGACGTGGGAAAAAACGTCCGGCTGACTGGTCCGGCCGGCTGACTGATGAACCACGTTACCCTTAGTTACCTTAACTATAGCGGCAAATAATAATAG